TAAGACAGTGGGCCAGCAACCTACCTGAGGTGGTTGCCCATCTGCCCAGCACGGCCAGGTAAGAAAGCAATGAACTGTGGTTGAACTTCAAAAGTCTTGATCCACAGGAGTCAACATTGGGTCTCAGCTGGCACTGCCCAACCGATGTCCTGGGATACAAGCATCGCCCAGTGTCTTACACGACTGTCACGCTGCACAATATTTATAAGGTACTAGTCAGTCAGTATGACCCATTGGGTTATATCTGTCCATACACCACAAGAGCAAAGCTCATTGTGCAGGCCTTGTGGAATAAAGAGAGAGGATGGGACGAGCCCATAGAAGGAAGTCTGCTTCAGTGGTGGCTCGAATGGGAAGAAGACCTGTCTAATCTCCAACACATCATCATCCCTCGCTGCTACAGTCCTCACAGCATCAGTGGCACCTCAAACGAGGTTCACATCTTCTGTGACGCCTCTGAGAAATCCTATGGAGCTGTTGCCTATCTGAGAGTCACAGAGCAACAGATGCACATCTCCACTTCTTTCATCATGGCACGCTCAAGGGTTGCACCCCGCAAACAGGTGTCGATTCCCCGACTGGAGCTGTGTGCTGCGTTGACAGGAGCCCAACTAGCCAAAGTGCTCCAAACTGAACTCTCATTACCCCTGCACTCTGTCTATCTGTGGACGGATTCTACTACAGTGCTGCAGTGGATCCAGTCCAGTTCCTGCAGGTACAAAGTTTTTGTTGGGACTCGGATTTGTGAAATACAGGAGTTGACCTCCTCAGAGCAGTGGGGGTATGTGAACTCTGATGAAAATCCAGCTGATGACATCACAAGAGGGAAATCGCTGTTAGAGCTCACCATCTCCAGCCGTTGGGCACAGGGCCCCCCCTTCCCCACACAGGCTCCTGACACCTGGCCGAAACCCCCGACAGAGTTCCCAGATTGTGGTAATGAAGAACTCAGAAAGACCGCTTTCTGTAGCTTCACATCTATATCTCAAAGTCTGCCAGATCCTACACAGAGTACATCGTTAGAGGACCTGGTTCTGGCCACCCACCAATCCCTGCATGGGGCGGCTGCCACCTCATTCACTGCTGCCGAGCGTCAAGAAGCAGAGACTCAGTTGCTTCGCTCTGCACAGAAGGACAGCTTCCCAGAAGAGGTCCAAGCCCTCCAAGCAGGTGACACTGTGCGCCCCAGCAGTCGCCTTAGTGCTCTTTCCCCTGAGTATGACAGCCTCAGTGGACTGATCAGAGTTGGAGGCCGCCTGCGCCAAGCTATAGATGTATACCCTGACAGCATCCATCCAGTTGTGTTAGCTCCTGATCATCCTCTGACTCGTCTCATCATAAAGCACGACGCTCAACTGCTTCACCCAGGTGCAGAGAGACTCTATGCAGAGATATGACACACCTATTGGATCCTCAGAGGTCAACAGGCCATTAAGAAACACCAGTACCAGTGCGTAGACTGTAGGAGATGGTGCGCCTCACCTTCCACACCAAAGATGGCTGACCTTCCCTCAGCTCGTTTGAGACTCTACAAACCCCCATTCTGGTCTACAGGCGTAGACTGTTTTGGACCGTACCTAGTTAAGATTGGACGTCGAAGAGAGAAACGCTGGGGGATCATCTACAAATGTCTGACCACTCGATGTGTTCACTTGGATCTCCTCCCTAGCCTCGACACTGACTCTTTCCTGATGTCATTACGCAGGTTTATTGCTCGCCGGGGAAAGCCATACGAGTTGTGGTCTGACAGAGGCACCAATTTCAGGGGAGGCCATAAAGAACTGCAGAGTGCCTTTGAAAACATGGCCCCAGTGTTGCAGCAACAGTTGGCCAAACAGACCATCAATTTTAACTTCAACCCGCCGCATGCTCCTCACTTTGGGGGAGCCTGGGAGAGGGAAATCAGGTCAGTCAAATCAGCTTTACAAGTTGTCCTGAAAGACCAAGTTGTGGCAGAGGAAGTACTTCTAACAGCTCTCATAGAGGTTGAAGGCATCCTTAACTCTAAACCTCTCGGTTATGCCTCCTCTGACGTGGCTGACCTGGACCCCATTACACCAAACCTTCTGTTAATGGGGCGGCGGGATGCAGGACTACCACAAGCAGTGTATGGTCCTCATGATGCCCTGTCCAAGAGAAGATGGCAACACAGTCAGGTCGTCAGTGACCATTTTTGGAAACGCTTCATCCAGGACTACCTTCCAGGACTTCAGTTACGACAGAAATGGAGGAAATCTACTGATAATACTGCTGTGGGACAAATTGTGATGATTGTTGATTCCAACCTTCCCCGAGGACTGTGGCCCGTCGGGACCATCACCAAGGTTTTCCCTGGGACGGATGGCGTTGTTCGAGCTGCTGAGGTGAAGGTCAAGGACAGCATCTACATTCGCCCGGTAACCAAACTGGTGGAGCTTCCGGAAGTGCCTGAAGATTTGGACCCTTCTTCTACCTAGTGGACTTTGTATGAGTGTATTTGTTTGCAAATACAGGGGCGGCTGTTAAAAGTCCACCTGTTCGTTTTAGCACTACAATACCCATAGTGCATCTGTTCGTTACCCATAGTGCATCTTTTCGTTTTTTTTTTCTTGTAGTTCGACTTTCATCTATACCAGTAAGTCATCGCTTCTTTCCTGTGCTTCTGTGGTTCGGTGGCATTAAAATCCATCACTAGAAAAATTCTGAGCTGCATGCTTATTCCTTCTGACCGAGGAAGATTCAATTGACGAGACATCCGGAATTAGCGCAAGCTAGCACGCAGTCTTTTACANCTCAGAAAATATTTATTAGAACAGAAGATATGAACTTTGATTTATCATCAATTATATATACCGTATTTTCCAGACTATCAGCCGTTACTTTTCCTTCGCTTTGAACCATGCGGCTCATAGCCCGGTGCAGCTTTTCTGTGAATTTTTCTTCAACCACCAGGGGGCTCTTTAGCAGGAAGTGAATCATTGGAAGTCAAAATTGGAAATCAAAGATGAACGTGCTAATTTTCATCTAGATCAGTGTTTCTTAACCCTGGTTCTCACTGCCCCCTTGCTCTGCATGTTTTAGATGTGGCTGTATTCCAGAATAGCTGATTCAAATGATTGCATGACCATCAAGTACTGCAGAAGCCTGTTAATCACCCAGAGAGACAATTCAGGTGTGTGGCCGAAGGGAAATACCTAAAACATGCAGGACAGGGGGCGGTGAGGACTAGGGTTGAGAAACCCTGATTTAGAATAAGCACAGCAGCAGACACAATGGAGAAATGTTTTCAAACTCATATGATGCTGCTTTTAAGTTGAGGGCTATTGATCTGGCACTCCAGGAGAGAAATAAAAAAGCTGCACGTAAGCTCAGCCTGAACAAAACCATGGTTTGGCTTTGAAGACGGAGCACTGCGTATATCCAACATTTATTTGGACGCAGCCCTCGACTGGGTCCATATGGAAAAAAAATAGAGCGGTGGAGATACCAGCCGCTTATAGCCCGGTGAGGCTTAGATATGTACGTTTCCAGTTTTTCTCAAATTTGTAGGTGAAGCTTATAGTATGGTGTACTCTACAGTCTGGAAAATACGGTAATTATTCACAGAAAATATCTATAATTAAAATACCCCAATTTCTCCAGTCTGCAGCCTTCAGTCTGTAGAAAACCACAGAGCTCCTTCAGTCCAGAATCTCCCAGGTTGGTGCTGATCAGGTCCAATCCTGTCAGATGGGTCGGGTTGGAGTTCAGAGCTGAGAACAGAGACGTCCAGCTGGTCTCTGACAACCTGCAGTCCTGCAATCTGAATAAAGAATGAAAGATGAGGTGAAGTCAACAGGATGCAGTTAAAACTGAAATATGAACAAATTAATAAGAAAAATGTAGAAAATTAATTTCCCTGAATATAAAAGAAACATGATGAACTGATTCTAACATCTGATCCAGTCAAACTGGTTTAAAGAGTCCAAACCAGCAGAACCAGTTCAACAGGAACAGTTTAACTGCTGATAAAAGTGACAGAGGACACAGATATGTGAAGTGTGGAAAGTGTGGAAGCCCCTACTGTATCAAATTACCATTGTAAGGTAAAAACCCAGCGCATACAGCGTTCATGTTTTTTTTTTTTTTTCATCCAGATGGCTTCCCGCGCCCCACCTGCAATGGCACGCCCCAAGCCCCCCTCCCTTAGGGGCGCGCCCCACAGTTTGGGAACCTCTGGATTAAAGTATGAATTAATGATTTTATTGTATAAATAGAGAAAACAAACCTCAGATTCTTCACTTTACTGACTGAACTCTGCAGGATCTCAGACAGATTCTTCATATCAGATTCTCCACCTTCCACTATGATGATCTGACTTATTTCCAGTTCAGTCAGATGTGAGTTGGACTTCAGAGCTGAAGCCACAACGTCACATTCAGCCTTTTGGATCTCACAGCCACCAAGTCTGTGATGAGAGAAGAAATAAATTCAGTTCTAATGAAATCAATCTGGATCATAAACAGACTAAAATATGATAACAGTGATGTCATCATGATGTCATCATCTGATCAACATCTGATCTTCAGTTTACTGAATTTGAGCCGACAGAGAGTCTGTGCAGCTCCTGACTAAAGTCCAGGTTCTGGTTCTGGTTTTGGTACAGGCTTCATGTCCTCAGACCTTCAGCTCAGTCAGATGTTGAAGATCTTCTATCATCTGTGAAGGAAAGTTCAGTTTCTCTGCAGCATCAGAGCCTCAAAGGAGCTGCAGCAGCTGATGAAGAGGCTGACTGAGCTGAATGAAGGAAACTACTGGAGACGATGGAGAGGAGGAGGAACTGCTCACAGCTCTGACAAGTCACACTGACTTGGACTAGACCGTTTGGCTCCTTGAGATCTTCCACCAAGCAGGAAGTGAGTTATAAATGAAGTGAGCAGAGCAGGAAGTCCAGCCTGCTGTGGACCTCTGGCATCTCTGGGTTTGTTTAGCCCATATCTGCTGCTGCAGCATCTAGAATCCTCCTCATCATTAATAATAGTAGTATATTCTATAGAAACATGGCTCCCAGCAGCAGATTATTAAATGCTGCCACAGAGGAAACTGGGAGCAGACCAGACACATGATGCTCCCAGTTGTGTCTCCGTTCATCTGCTGGATTTGATGCTGTAACAAAGTAGAAAGTGGACAGTCGTCAACCTGCTTCAGCTAAAAGCTGCAGATTGGCTTTGGATTCAGATTAACGTGGATCATCAGATACAACAGGAAAGGGTCTGTGGCCCAGGCTGAACCCTCAGCTCCACTGTGGTGTTTTTATTGAGCCATCAGAGAACAAGAACATTATGGGAGGAACTATTAAAGGCACCAGACCTGACGATGAGCTGCTAACAATGAGCTGCTAACGCTAACTGACCCAGAATCAGTCGACCTAATCTTGTCTTTGTACTCAGGACATTCAGTCCTGAGTACAAAGTACATTAATCTGGTTCTTTCATTTAACTATGAACAGTCACTAAGGCCACCTCCATTGATGTGGTGTTTGGGGGGGCAGCATCTGCGCCTCCAGTTTGCCTCCTGCTGCAGTGTGGCCAGTTTCCACACTAGGTCTTGATCTTTTTAGTGTGAATGCTATAGGTACCATTGACGTCGACTTTTCTGGTTGTTCCATACATTTCGTTGCGCTTCTTCTCCTGCATATTTCGTGCTATTTTCAACTTTTATACTTGGTCTCCCAATGCTGGCTATATCTCTTGTGTTCATAACCTTCATACTTTTTGCAATATTCAGCTTTTTATGAATTTTTTTCGCCATGGGGGAAACGGCTCCATCCTGTGGCAGAATTCAGAATTACAATATAAAATGTCTGCGTTTCAGAGTGGATGTTTCAGGTCCTGCCTATTAATGAAAATCAATCATCCAGTTTCAGGGCTGTCATGGAGGACACAAGGCAGCGGCCATTTTGAAGTTGGGCAGTTTAACAGCTTTTATGCTGTTTAACACCTGGGAATAATTTGAACTTTTGACATTGCTTTTATTGTGCTGCATGTATCATGTTTTTTGTATTCACCGTGCTAAACGATGCCTCCAAACAAATCTTGATATCTGAGAAACCATAAAAGGTTTGGATTTCATTCACCCACCGTTTTTAAACAGAAGGAATAGAGGAACGTTTCTGTTCTTTTCAAATTTTAGGTTTTACATGTTTCTTTTTTCTTTCTTTATTTTTTTTTTTACATTGCATGGAATATATTACTATAATGCTAGTGGTAGCCTATTTGCTATCATTATTATTTTAGCTAGTTTTAGCTTTTTAGCTAATTTTTGCTTTTACCTGGGTTTTCACACTGCATGGACTTACATTTCTGCAAGTCTTCAGCAATGTGCTTTAAATGCTTATGACATTTTCATCAAAGCCTTCAGCATTGAGCATTAAATATTCACACTTGCATTTTCATAGGAAATGCACACTTTCTAGTTGAACTATGTTCTTTAAGCAGTTCCTCTTATTCCTTTTTTACGTCTTTTTGATTCTTTATATAAACTATTTATTTGGGCTGACATTGTTTTTCTTTTGTTGTATTAGGTTCAAGGTTGTCACATTTATTAATGTGCCTTGGTAATGTAATGTTTATCAGAAAGATTAGTGGAGCTGCTTGTTAAAAGTCCACCTGTTCGTTTTAGCACTACAATACCCATAGTGCATCTGTTCGTTACCCATAGTGCATCTTTTCGTTTTTTTTTTCTTGTAGTTCGACTTTCATCTATACCAGTAAGTCATCGCTTCTTTCCTGTGCTTCTGTGGTTCGGTGGCATTAAAATCCATCAATAGAAAAATTCTGAGCTGCATGCTTATTCCTTCTGACCGAGGAAGATTCAATTGACGAGACATCCGGAATTAGCGCAAGCTAGCACGCAGTCTTTTACACTGCTAATAGAAAATTAGCTTGATAGCAACCTGGAACAGTCCAGTTCAAGGAAACTGAGTTTAAACTTTAAATGAGTTGATTCTCATGGTTGGCTCTTTATATTTCTGAGGTGTTTTTGGCTTCAAAACGTTGTGTTTGATAACGTTTGATAACAATAATTAAAACGTCTCAATGTTTGACATTGTCTAGCAAAATGTTTTTACGTCAGGCTACAAAGCTGCTACATCGATGAGCTGCTCTATGCTGTAGTTGGAGATATGTTGTTTGCTCCTGAGCAGAATCATTTTGTGGCTAAAACAAACATTATTTTTACATCAACTTCCAAGTTACGTGAAACTTCTGTTAAAATCATTTGAAGGCTCAGAATCAGTCCATTACTGGTACTAATCCACATTCTCAGGGGAGAAAGACTCACCTCGTATAAATTAACCTTTTAGCTATTGTACTAATGCTTAAGAGAAATTTATTTATCTAATTTATTTAATACAATTTATTTAATCAAAGAAAATCATGAAAATGTGTGTAAGGCTGCACCGATTGCAGTTTTCTGACCGATTCCTGGTTACTGATATTTGAAAAGCCTGACTTGTCGATTTTGATTTTGGCCAACATGATTTTTTTTTGTCTGAAATGTTGCTAAATATGGCAAGAAAGTCACTGAGTTGCAACAGTGGGGTGAATATTGTTAACTGTAAACGTTCAGACCTGATCTGGTCAGTCAAACCTCTCAGAGCAAAAGAGGACAGAGGCTGATTTATAAACCTTTGCTGACAAAGATAAGATGAGGGGATAAGATGGGCTTCATATGTAAATATCAGCCAATCATGATTCAAAAAAATTAAGAAAATCGGCTCCCAGAAATCAACTGGTCCATAAATCAGTTGGCCAATAAATGTATCCTATATAGAGACTGATTTGCATTAAGACTTGCTGCTGATAAAAATATATTGGAAGTAATTAAATGTCTACCTGAACTTGGTGCCAAACATCTGATCAATGTAATTACCTCTTTTTATTGTGAAGGTACTCACTTTGGGTTTTACAATTATCATTTAATTGTCTGGACTATTTCTTTTGTTACTTTATATTTTGCTATTTGTGCAGTTTTAGAAATATAAACCATTCAAACTCTCACTAACAAAAATTGCAGAGCATTCAGTTGAACAAAAACAATTAGCAATTTTTGTTTGTGAGAGTTTGAATGGTTTATATTTCTAAAACTGCACAAACAGCAAAATATAAAGTAAAAAAAAAGAAATAGTCCAAAGGATGAAGGAAGTAGTTAAAGACCAAAAACATCCAGAATCAACTTTAAGAAAGAAGAAGAAACAGGAGGACAATAGTGCTGAATCAGCATTCACACAATGAAAACATCTGGACTCACCGAGCCTTTCTGCAGTTCCTCACAGCTGGAACCAGTCTCAGTCGTCCTGATTCTGATGTGTTGTACTTCTCCAGGTCCAACTCATCCAGAACCTCTGACATCTGCAGCATGAAGGCCAGAGCTGAACAGTCAGTCACTGAGAGCTCCTTCCCTGAATCCAGCAGCCGTTGGATCTCCTGATAAAATGAGACGTCGTTCATCTCCATCAGACAGTAGAAGATGTTGATGCTTCTGCCAGCAGAGATTCTATCAGTGTTCATCTCCTTCAGGTTGGTGATGATTCTCTGGATGGTTTCTGGACGGTTCTCTGTCTGACCCAGCAGATCCTCTAAGAGTCTCTGGTTGGACTCCACAGTGAGACCATGAAGGAAGCGGACAAACAGGTCCAGGTGGCCATTTTTACTGCTGAGGGATTTCTCCATGACTTTCTTCATGAACTCACCCAAAGAAATGAAAAAATAATATTTTCCCAGCAAACTCTTGATCATTTTTGTTTTCCTCCAGCTGGTGAAGCAGTGGAGCATGTAGACGGCAGCCAGAAACTCCTGGATGCTCAGATGAACAAAGGAGTAGACGGAGATGTTCCGCCTTCCTCTTTCCCTTTTAAACATCTGAGTGAAAACTCCTGAGAACAACGCAGCATCTTTGATGTTGATGCCGCAACGTTTGAGGTCTTTGTCATAGAAGATCAGGTTTCCCTTCAGCAGCTGATCAAAAGCCAGACTTCCTAGAGACTCAATCAGCTTCCTGTTCTCTGGATCTTCAGCTTTTCCACTATACTTGTCCTCCTTAACTGTGAGTTGAACCAGCAGGAACTCTATGTACATCTCAGTCAGGGTCTTGGGCAGCTCTCCTCCCTCTCTGGTCTTCATCACATCCTCCAGAACTTTAGCAGTGATCCAGCAGAAAACTGGGATGTGACACATGATGTGGAGGGTTTTTGATACCTTGACGTGGGAGATGATCCTGCTGGCCTTCTCTCCATCATCTCTGAATCTCTTCCTGAAGTACTCCTCCTTCTGGGGGTCAGTGAACCCTCTGACCTCTGTTACCATGCCAACACACTCAGCAGGGATCTGATTGGCTGCTGCAGGTCGTGTGGTTATCCAGAGGAGAGCAGAGGGAAGCAGTTTCCCCCTGATGAGGTTTGTCAGCAGAACATCCACTGAGCTGGACTCTGTAGCATCAGTCAGGATCAGATTATCATCAAAGTCCAGAGGAAGTCGACTCTCATCCAGACCATCAAAGATGAACAGAACCTGGAAACTTTCAAAGCTGCTGATTCCTTTGGTTTTAGAAAATAATTTATGAATAAGTCCTAATAAGCTGAACTTTTCTTCTTTCAGTACATTCAGCTCTTTGAAAGTGAATGGAAATATGAATTCAATGTCTTGGTGGGTTTTGCCTTCAGCCCAGTCCAGAGTGAACTTCTGTGTTAACAGTGTTTTCCCAATGCCAGCCACTCCCATGGTCATCATTGTTCTGATTGGTTGATTTCTTCCAGGTGGGACTTTAAAGATGTCTTCTCTTCTGATTGCTGTTTCTTGTTTCCTGCATGCTGTTTCAATCTGTCTGACCTCATGTTCCTGGTTGACCTCTCTAGTTAACCCCTCTGTGATGTGGAGCTCTGTGTAGATCTGGTTCAGAACAGTTTCACTTCCATATTCAGCGATGCCTTCATAGAGACCTTGGAATTTCATTTTCAGATACTCTTTAAGCTCCTGTTGACACCGAATATCAAAATCTGAAAACAAAGAACACACAAGAGGAAATACTTCAGCTAAATATCAGGAATAAAATAATTTTTAATGTTGTCAGAAGACGTTTATACGGAGCCCTCCAGGGGACATTGGGAAATTTTTTTCTTTTGCGTTCCCCCACAATAATCTACTGATCAGTTCATGCAGCATAACTGATTACTGTAAGCCTTTCTTACGGTGGCAGCTGTACTTTCTGCTTTAATACAATGTTATTTAAGGTTGTTCCATGAATGTTAATATCTCTTTGTGAAATATCTGGCGTTTTATATCTTTTTCTTTAGTACAGAAAGGCACAACAAACCTATAATATAAACAGAAACTTTCTGTAAGTAGGAAAGAAATAAAAATACATCCAAACTATTTGGACTATTTCTGAGTTATTATCACAGGTAATAAGTCATCTGCTCTGTTCTTCGCAGGAGGACGCACTTTCTCTGTCTCCCTGTCCTCCATATCTTCCCTGCTCAGCGTCTGTGTCCTGTGTTTTCAGAGTCTCTTTCTGAATAGCTTACAAAGTTGCAAATTATGGATCTGGTCAGCTGGTCTTTCAATGCAATTGATACCATTTTTTCCACTTGGAAACCCGGCAAAGGGGAACCCTTGTGTCCCGACGGGACATTCTTCGCTGGATTTGGATTCTACATGGAAGTGGAAGACTGTGTCTGACGATGCTGTCAGTTGAGGACATTGAAGATCTGTACATGATTGGATTTATGATAACAGACTTTCTGCTTGTTGGAGTTGGTTGAAACCTGGCTTATCGGAAATTTTGGAAGATACTGGCGGCAGTTTTGGCAACTTTGAGGCTGCCGGGTGCAGTTGATGGGATCTGCAGAGCGATCAACACTCAGACTGAGATGATACGGGAGCTGAGCCGCAGACTGGGTGCGATCCTGGAACAGGACCGTGGCCGAGCAGCAGATCTCGGACTCAGAGTGAATATGGTGTGACCTTGGAGAACGTTGTTCGCTTGGATCAGGCGATAGACCCTAAATTCGGCTGTTTGGATTTGCCACTGAGAAGCACCTGCAAGACTTTCAAGGAAGGCATTAAATGAATGTCAGCCTAACCTAACCAAATTGTTGCTATCAGAATCTGGCTCCCTGGGCTGGCCTTAGCTGGCCAGCTATCCTCCCCTGGTTGTTATGTCTAAAGAAGGCTCTTTTCTGCTGTCCCCCTCCTCTCTGGACATCTGTGGCCCTGAACTGTTTACGCTGTGTGTGAACCCGACGCTATATTCACAGACAATCACGGACAAATGATTGTCTGTGCTTCAGTTAGGGTTAATGGTCTGACACACACATTACTCACGTGAGACCCATTTGCACATCATACCTCCTCCTTGTACCCGGCTTGCTTTGTCTACAGTATATGTGTTTATATGTGCTTAAGTGCCGAGGTTTTTTCTTCATCTCAAGCTCTGCCCTGCAAAGAGCAGAGTGTGAGACAGGCTGTTTTTCCTCTCCTTACCTTACCGGATGTTTTTTCTTATTTTTTCTATTTCCTCCTGCAAGGGCGGTGCCTGTTGGGCTGCGAGGCCTCAGCCAACTATCCCCTCATCCCATTCCCCCCCTCGTGTTGTTGCATCACGAGACGCAACAACAAAGACAACAAAACTGCAATTTTGTTGTCTTTCTGACAATGACAATAAATTCTTCTGATTCTGATAGTTTTGATTGTGTCTCTGTTGTGATCGTCTGAATGGTTTAAAGGGCTGCTGTGAGTGCCGTTCCATCTGAGGCTTAACAGACATAAACATGCCTTAAATAAATCGATTTTCAATCAGTTTTTGCACCAAAGAGTTAATAATAATAAACAAAATTTCTCTGAGGCTCTCTAAGAGCCATATGAATGAAATAAGTAATTATTTATATGACAGGAGCACAAGGCTTTGACACTTGAGTGGTGGGTGTGTTGATGTGGGCGTGACGTCATCAAGTATGAATGGGAAGGTTACTGGGAGGAAGCGGGTGATCGGGGTAGTCAGTCCTCGCAAAATTTGGAGCAAGATAGTCACAATGGAATAAATCGATAATTATGACAGAACAAAGAAAAGGTTTGGAGTTGATTGAGACACGGACAGATGAGATTCCCCTAGTTAACCCAGTGCGGCCCTCTACCACCTGTCGTGTATTATAATAATAAAACGTGTTTATTATTATTAACTCTTTGGGGCAAAAAAAAACCTGATTGAAAGTAGATTTATTTACTGCATGATTATGTCTGTTAAGGCTCTGACACTGAACGGCACTGACAGCAGCCCTTTAAACCATTCAGACAAACACAACACAGACACAATCAGATGACTGATTACCCCGATAATAACTCAGTAATAGTCCAAATAGTTTGGATGTATTTTTATTTCTTTCCTACTTACAGAAAGTTTCTGTTTATGTCATAGGTTTGTTGTGCCTTTCTATCCTAAAGAAAAAGATATAAAACGTCAGATATTTCACAACGAGATATTAACATTCATGGAAAAACCTCACATAACCTTGTATTAAAGCAGAAAGTATGGCGGCCACCAAAAGAAAGTCTTACAGTATCAATTATGCCGCATGAACTGATCAGTAGATTATTGAGAGGGAACGCAAAAGAAAAAAATTCCCCTTATCCTCTCGAGGGCTCAGTAGTTTGCATTTACAAATGAATGAAGTAAAAATTCAACAAAACAGAAAAAAATCAACAGAAAAAAACATTTATTCGCATCTAAAGAAGAAAGTTATTCCAACATCAGTCCAAAGACAAAGGGACAAAATTTGAGACTCAGTTTCTTGAGCTCACAGAGGTGACGGATAATAGAAAATTCAATTAATCAGACATGTTTCCCCCAGAGTGACCTCTGACCTTTGAGCTTCAGAGATCTATCCAAGTCAGTGTTTGTCAACCCTGGTCCTCAGGCCCCCCTGTCCTGCATGTTTTAGGTGTTTCCCTTCTGCCACACACTTGCATTGTATCTCTGGGTGATTAACAGGCTTCTGCAGTACTTGATGGTCATGCAATCATTTGAATCAGCTGTTCTGGAATAGAGGCACATCTAAAACATGCAGAGCAGGGGGGCGGTGAGGACCAGGGTTGAGAAACACTGATCTAATTGTTTAACTTGAAGTTGCATTTTTTTAGTATTGTTTGCAAGCTGGAAACAAAGAACCAAACTGGCCACCTTATTAGGTACACCTGTCCAGTTACATGTTAATGGTTGAAGGTGATTGGAAGGCAGCAGGAGCTGAGATGAAATCTTGTTACAGCCAAACCACAACACATGGAACCATGAAAGGATCTGAGATTAGTTGCAATAATAAACTTTGTCTGAGAAATATTTATTCAGATGTGAAAACAAAATCTGACTTAAAATCTGAATAGTTCTATTTACATTTTGTGGAACAGGAAATTACACTCATGTTTTTGTCTGAGGTTTTTTTGTCATTTCTTTAAGTAATTCTTGGTGCAGCGTCCCCCACTGACGATTAGGGAAGCATGTTTTTCAACTAGTTTGGATTGTTTGACTCAGTGCAATGTGAATGAGAAATGCAGCAGCTGAAAATGTAACAAATGTTGCAATTTTGGTCCCAATAAAATGAGTTTAGTGGACTATCATGTGTGGAAAAAAGCATTAAGATCAAAGATTTACAAATGTCCTATTGCATATTTTCTTACCCTCCTCTGATTTTCTATCTAGCCTTTTGGCTTTGAACGTATTAATCGTCTGTCCTGTAACAAAGCTGACACCACTGACCAACTTTCTATGGTTGCATATGTTCATCACTTATGGGAAGATTTACATCATGGCTATCTAAATATATTCCAGATTTTAATTTGTCGCTCTGAAAAACAGGAAGCAATAAAGAAGAGAGAAATGATGCAGCTGTGCTCAGAGTTCTGTCGGAGCAAACATGAAAGACCAAACTACATAATATTAGCTATTTTTCATTTGGATTTAAAAGAAATAAAGTTCATGTGTAGTTATTTGTTTACATATTTTGCCTGCATTGCCTAAATTCATAAAGTTGCACAATTAAAAAAAATAATAATAAAGTGCCAGAATTTATTTGTATTTAATTGTATAGAAGAATAATCAGCTGATCTGAGTCTTTATTATTATGTTTGGGCCAACAATTAATTTCACAAAGGCAAACTGAAATATTTGGGTTTATTTTAGTCCATCACAACGAGAACCTTGAGGTTCTCCATTGCTGACTGTCACTGAAAACATCAGAGGAGAGTTAACTACAGCTGCTGCTCATTTAATAGTAAATCTACAGAAACATTCATTTTATCTCTGTTGGGTACACAAGCTGCACAACATTATATTGTGGAGCGTCATTCCAGGTGAAAACGATCCCATCATAATCCAAGTTTACCCATCAAATTTTAAACTTAACATGTCACAATAATTGCATATTCAATTGCTGGAAGAAGAATCCATATTGTGTCATCAAACATCAAGCAGATTAATATATTTAACTTTTTCTCTGCTACAAGTTTTGAAATCAGAAAATATTTGAAAGGGACAAATTTATTTATCATTTCCAGTTGACTCAAAGAAAGAAGAGGCTGTAAAAGCAGCTTTAATGAACTGTGTGTCTCACCTGGACCAAAGGAGTCAGAGGACAAACCCAGCTGGTTGGACAGAGTCGGATCGATGTGATGAAGACGTTGGATCATCAGTCTGCAGGCTCTCTGTCCTTTCTTCATCACAGCATCTATGGTGTTGCGGGCCTTGTCTGCTCTGATTGGGTTCTTCTGCAGTATTTCCTCTATCTCCATGTAATTAAAGACACGATCTGATAGAAGGTCATCAAGGAGCTGTTTCAGGATTTCCTCAGAAACTCTCTCCACAAACTTAACTCGAACATCTGAAAGTTTTTTCTCTGTAGGCAGAAACAGAAACAAGATTCATTCAAACTGATGTCTGAGAGAAAAACTTGATGAAGATCAACTATTCATGTTGCTCCATCCAGAGATTCAGTCTGTTGATCAGCTCTTCAGGTCTAAACCTGTTGTTGTTTCTGCCTCATATCTGAGTGACGACCACTGATTCTGTTTTGTAATACTTCATTTCTGCTTATGATCACTTACCGAAATCCTGCTGGACTTCCTGCTCTGCCATCTTTTATCTGGAAAACATGAAGATTCTTAATGTTTTTATTTCATAAACACTTTAATTTGCTCTTAAGAAGTTGGAAAGGAACATAAACATACCAGATTAAACATGGAAAAATCTAATTTAAAAACAGACTTACACCCAACCAGACAAACATACTATGAAAGCTGTAATATGTGTTATATAAACTGACTACATAAAAACATTTAAATCTGAGACAATTTATCACGCTTTACTTCATTAGGGATTCTAAGTGCAGTAAGCTCTCACTAGTCTAGCCCCTTAAAACTCTTTGTACGTGACACATTTCTTAAAAGAAAGAAGCCTTGAATCCACCGTTTATGTTTACTGTAAGTCTTTATGGGACTTAATAAAAAGGAAATAAAAACGATTTGTTTCAAAACAAATAAAGTGACGGTCAAAAGATTGTGTAACTCTCAAGATGCCAGACTTCTACAATGAGCAAGTGCTTCGATCCTTTATTAACCAATTAGTCAAAAAGTCAATCAAAAGGCACCACGCAATCAGCTTAAACAAGTTATAATTACAAATAGAGTAACAAATGAAAAACATCATACTGTATGAAGTCTCTAAAATGTATATATGGCTCCTAGAGGGACAATGTTTCTTTAAGTATCAGTGCAGACTGTCAATCATTCTAGGATCTGATTTCCTTCAGGCTGAAATGAAAATATCTAAATCCTGCTTCTTGTTATCTGACTGTAATATGTTGCTCCTATCACTAGGTGGCAGCATCAGCTGCAGAAAGCTCCTCCTGTTTAGCATCTTTATGATCCTGGATCTCTGAAGTGACATAGCTTCATACGGTCACTGCAGTACTCCAAGTCAGTGTCAAAACTGCGCAGTCTTTTATGCATGAGGCCCCTGGTCCCTGATATCATAACTAAAGCTGTTCATCTGGATCTTCTGTCACTTTGGACCAAAACGCCCACAGTGTTTATTTAAGTTTTTTTTTTTTTTTTTGCACTAGTTGCTTTTATTTGACAATCATCCAACAGGAAGTGGACAGAGAGGAGGACAGACAAAGGACGTGAGGACAGTCCAACTCAGGACTGCAGTGGTCTATACAGTCTCTAGGGGGCGCCACTGTAACCGCTTCACCATCCGAACCCTATTGTGGTAAACTTTAGTTTATAGTTCCACTTTGGTAAATAATTTATATTTTTATAGAATTTTAACTGTCTGACAAACTCACCTAGTTCATCTTGGAAAAATCAGTTTAGTGACGTGATTGAGACGAGAGACTAGGATGGAAAAGTTACTACAGAGTAAAGAGTCAACTAGTTGCTGCAACATCCAGTTCAGAGACAATCTGAGTCGTTGCTCCTCACATTGTTGCTGGTTTTTGTTTTCATTTTCATCATTTTTCATTCAAACTGATTTACTGACCAACATCCTTCATGTTTAACTTTAAATTAATATGGAAGAAATTTAAGTTACTTTTGATCAAACACTGAAGATCAACCAGTTAATATCATTTATATTTTATTTCTATAGTTTCACATGAACCAGATAGAAACTGGTTTCTTACTTTCTGTCTGAGGGTCCAGGTTTGTTACTGAACTCTGGAGGTTCTGGTCTGGACCGGTCTCTCCTCACAGACGGACAGATCCATGGTCTTCCATCTTCTGACTGAATTCATGGATCTTCATTTCGTCTCCCAGCCCGACTCTCTGCTCCTCAAACTGAGCAGGAAAACAATTAAAATGTTCAGGAAACGGATTTAATGTCAAATAGAACCTGAGACAGAATTTGTTCTCCTCTAATCCTCGTCTTCATGACTTGATCTAACTGGTTAATCCTCCAGAATCAGCAGCAGCTACTGGTTCTGGTAACTGGTGACGGAGCATTAAATTTTCCTCCTTATGGTTTTGCTCATATTTTCTCCCAGAAAGAGTGAAGCTGGTCTCCATGTTGGATCCAGTTCAATATGGACCTGATTCACCAGAACCGCTGCTTTGTCTTCCTGTTTGCCTGCAGAACCACTGGGTTTGGTTCTGATTCTTCACTCTGGTGTGGACTGGGATGATGGGCTCAACCGGAGCAGCAGGTGATGCAGAAAACCCGGTTGGGACCTGGAGATGTGGTTAAACTCCACATTCCACAACTTCCAGTCAGATTTCTACTGCTCTATTTTGCAGAGCTTAGCAGGTAAAATACAGTAGGAAATCCAGCAAAACAGAAAAAAATACAGAAGTTGTGAAAATCTTTAAATCCTTGAATCACATTTAATTATCTTACCTAAAACTGTGGTTGAGTGAACTTTTTAAATGCAAGCAGACGGAGGGAGAGGCCCACACCACATAGAAATCCCTTTCCTGGGTTCATCCATTCAGTCTTTGAGTAAATTACTTGGCAAAAATCCAATTTCCCCCAGTGGACAAATGTAGCCCCAAAAACCAAATAAAAAAAATTCTTCAACTTGTTCTTGACAAAACCTGAGAAAGTTCTTGGCTCCAACAAAAAGAAACCCTCAGTGTGAAGCAGCAGCCTGGAGAGTAAATCCAGAATGTGAAGCTGTTGGCTGGTGGTTCATCAGGGCTGCAGTTCTTCTCTCCAAACCCTGAAGGTCGTCACCATCTCTTCTCCATGTGAACACAAAGACTGTACCGAGACAGAACCCCGAACATCAGCCAGTGGTTCTGCTTTATGCTGCTTTGCCTACGTAGCTTTTCCCATGAACTGATAAAGTCACCCCTCTTTACTGGAAGATTCCTCTTTTTGCTGTTGAAATTGTTGTGAAAGATTCTTCACTGTCCACAATAATTTCCTCTTTTCTCACATTTCTGTTCTGTTCCTCATCTTAGTGATTAATATGTTTTAGACATTTGAAATCAAAACATCATTTAAATAACAAAGAATTACTTTGTACATCACATTTCTTCCCAAGTATTGATATCATTGTTCAATATTAATTCATTATATTTGAAGCATTCACTAGTTATCAAAAATCATCTGACTGCTAACAATTATAACTTGTCAGTTATATAATCAGTACAGTTTAGATCAACTGTCCATTATAACATTTCCATGTTTATGACTTCTTATGATTAAACATAGAAAAATATTAAAACATATTTCATAAGACAAAACAGTTTAGCACCTTTGGTGTTGGTACTAAAGTCTCATCCTGTTGGTTTTAGATGTTTCCTTGTGTTACCAGTTTTGGGTTCATTTCTAAAAGCCTAATCATGATCTGGTTCTACCAACTAGTCTTTGTCTTAAGGGGTCTAGAGATAAATGTCCCTGTTAATCTGTCAGTCTTATGTCTCATCACTGCAAATAAATCTAGATATTAACAACCTGCTGCCTCTACTTCTGTAAACTTCAGTCTTTCACTGTTAAGAATGAATCATCAACATGTAATAAATCTTATAATCCTAGATTATTTATTTCATATCAGGAATTTTTTTTTTGTTTTTGTTTTATTAAAACCATCTAATTGTCAAATCTGGTTTTATTCCTCATACCTTTCTTGCATCATCCTAACATCAAGTATCGTCATAACACATTTATAATGTCTAAATCAGTGGTTCTTAACCTTTTTTGAGTTATCAAACCCACCAGTTTCATATGCGCATTCACTGAACCCCTCTTTCGTGATAAAATATTATTTTTTTCCCTCCCAAATTCAAGACATATGGATGACCCAACTAGAGCCTAGTTGGGTCACCCCAAGATCACTAAGTCTTCTTAAAAGGTGGAGTCTCTGAGACAGTTCTTCAAAATATACTCGGTGTTTTTAGCAAAGTTGAGTTGACTGTCCAGGAACGACCCAAGGTATTTAAAATTTGCCACAGTTTCAACAGGTTGGCCATCGAAAGAAACTGGAACCACTTTAAGGTCTTTAGATCATTTAATTAGCTCTACATTCTTAAGAGAATGAAAAATTAATAATAAATAATAAAGACTTTGTGATATTCTGATTTAGTAATGTAATTATATTAGTTGTGTTACCACCCCCACGCCACTAGTCGCAGTACCAACCCCGAAAAGATGCGACTAAGGAGCAGATTTAGAAGTACACCGAAAGCTACAGAACTTAGTAAAAACGGTGAGTTTTGCTGAAGTAATTAAAGACACAAGTTCAAATCCATGCTGAGTGTAGCTCCTTCAATCACTGCTCCTCCGCAGCTCTGATTGGCTCAGCAATGTAACGTGATCCTCTGCAGCAAGTGATGGCAAAGCGGGGCGTCATCACGACTTTACACAGGTGTGTCTTTACCTCCGCGGCAGAGGCTCCGCCGAACCCCTGAGACCGACTCACCGAACCACTGGGGTTCGATCGAACCCAGGTTAAGAACCACTGATCTAGATTATATGTAGAGGTAGCATTGATGTTTGGTTCTGCTGGGTACCAACTCATGAAGGGGTAAAAGGAAATGAAAAGCCAGATAAATTAGCAAAAAGGGCATTAGAAGTGGCAATAACGATTATAATTCCTTTTGGGAAAGGGAAATAATTTATTAAGAGTAAAGAAATGGGGAAAATGAAAAAAAAAAAGAATTAAGATTGCGATAATGTCATTGTGGTTTATTTGTGGTCTCTTGCTGCCATCTGCTAGACAAATTAGAGTAAAAATAAGAGCTTTCATTTGTCTTCTGTATTTTACGGAAGAGGATTAGGGCCAAGGGGAAAAAAAAATTAGAATTCTGACTGAATTCTAATTTTTTTATTTACATTAGTTTATGCAAACAATACTGTCACACTAAATGTCCCAGTTCTGGAGAAACTCCCTTTATTCCACATAAAGATTTAAATTGATCTGAATTCATGATCCCTTTGTTCATGACTGGATCTAACTGGTTCATCCTCCAGAATCTGGTTCTGGTAACTGGTGACAAAGCTTTAAGTTTTCCTCCTGATGGTTTTGTTCATATTTTCTCCCAGAAAGAGTGAAGCTGGTCTCCATGTTGGATCCAGTTCAATATGGACCCAATCTACCAGAATCGCTGCTTTGTCTTTCTGTCTGCCTGCAGAACCACTGGGTTTGGTTCTGATTCTTCACTCTGGTGTGGACTGGGATGATGGTGACTGGAGCTGCATGCTAAGGCTAACTGGGAGCTCTGGGCTCAGCTGGAGTAGCAGGTGATGCAGCAGCTCTGCAGAAAACCCAGTTAGGACCAGAAGATCCTCCTGATGGATCAGAACATGCACTGGTCTGCGTACACAGTAAAAACCTCTGGAAATTTTTTACATTGTTTAAAAAAAAATAATCAAGTTTGATAGTATTTCAAAATAAATCAATTAAATAATTTAAATAAGACCGTCAGTCTGCTGATTTATTTTCCCGCATTTTAAAGAACAATGTCTCTAAATAATCTGACTCAGATTTTAAATTACTTTTCAATTTGTGGAACCTTGTTTTGTATTTTCTCAGAGACACTATGAAGCATCTCAGTTTGTAATTCAATTAATGTTGGATTATTAGGATGAGAAAAGCTTCAAGTTTGGTTAATTTCTCTGAATAAATGGCATTTGTACTATTTTTCCTACTTTGTAAGATTTGGCTGAAATATGAAGTTTCCAATCAAATTTTGTATCTTAAAAATTCCCAGTTATTTTCTCATCTATAACTGAATGATCAGCTTTAATTTCTTTAATATATATTTTTAATCCTAGAGTAATATTTCTGGTTGTCTAATAAGTCTGCATTAACAAACAACCTTTATGTCTTTATACTGCTTATGAAGCGTTGGTTAGAAAGCAGAACTTTAGAGTTTGCAGGTTTTGTGATGCATGTTGAAAGGTCATTACTTATTACCTTTTACTTAATTAACATGATTCTGAAGTTTTGCTGCTTGAGTAAAATGTCTGGCTCCTCAAACCACTGAGAAACTTCACTGGATGAAGAACAAACATGTTTTAACCAGAAACACAGCAGAAAAGACCTGCAGCCCCCGACCCGTTTTGTCGTTAAAGTACCAAAATTTACACATAACTATATTTTTATCTGTCTGATGACAGAACTATAAAATATTAAATCAGAACCTATGATCGCTTCATCAGTACTTGAGAATTATTTTTCAACTTTCTTCTGTTTTCCTTAAAGCAGAAGTTATTTCTTGATTCTTCTACTGAAGTGAAAATGCGTTGAAGTCGTACATCTCTGAATAAAGTACAGCTTTGGGTCTCACACACCTCTGTGTCTGAATAATTGCTTTCTGGATCAATAATTTATCAAAAACGGAGCCATAAGATAAAGCAGAATAAATACTTTCCTGTCTGAAAGGTGGCAACTCTGGTTGTAAAGGACAACATGTTGCTAAGATATTTGCTTTAGTTGCCATCAACAGGTCAACAGACAGCAGGATGTTTTAGTCCAGCGTTAGCCCTGACTGTTGCAGCGTGTGTGTGAACTAGCTGGCTGCTTTTTCTGCATAGTGCGGCAGGTTTTTATGTGGTTCTTTTGTCCTGGGCAGGTGAGCTGAGGTCTGCTGGGTGATTTTGAGCTACTAAACTGTTTTTCTCCATTCTGTTCAGAATAAACACACCACCAGATTGACTGAAGTCAAACTCTGAGCCTCTTCATTTCCACAATGTAGAACTTTATTGTTAGTCTGGGTGAAGCAACGCCGAGCCCGGCAACACAAACAGACATTTTAACTTCAAACCAGTTCTGGAAATAAACTGATCAACATCCCTCAGCAGCAACATTTCAAACTCTGCTTAGATTTTCAGTGAAGAGCTCTACCTGGTGGCGCCACCTGGTGGCTGAACAGGAAACAACATCAACAGTTTTCTCCATTTCCTGCCAGTGGCAGCAGGTCCGTCATATGAAACACCAGGGAACATTTTCCAACCATCCAGAACTCAGAACCACCAACAGGATCTAAATGTTCCCAACGTGGAGCTGGAAGCAGCTCAGGAACACAAAGAGTCAAGAACAACAGACCAACTGGGACATCAGCCCAGATCCTGGAGCACAGATTAAGGGTTAATCCCATTTTCTAATCTGGATTAGCAGGACGTTAATGCCTCCATCACCAACTGTGAATCAAACTATTTTAGAATGGCAGCAACAATCAAGTTTAGTCTGACGCTCTTTTCTTTCATTGTTAGAACAGGAAATGGGATTCAGCCCCTTCAAACTAAGAGCTTAGAGCTGCATGAACAAAAACTCAAGAGATGTCCTCCACGAGAACATCTTGTGTCTTAACAACCATTGTAATGTCTCCTTGAAGACCTCTGACTGATCTGAAGCTGGTTCTATTTGTCTTTCTTCTAGAACCAGCTGACCCAGTTATGCTGTTAGCTACAGAGCTAACTGAGGCTAACTAAACACACCATAAACAGGGAAACCCAAAAACATCTGGATATGAGAAGCCATGTTAGCAACAGCTTAGAGCTTCTTGATGAGTCACTGAACTGCTCCCTGTCTGAAGGGCAAAGGTCAGGGGCATTAACACTAGAACACCATGAACTGCTGAGCTTCAGGTTGTCTTCACTGAGCTCAGATCTGGAACTTTTAAGGTTTTTCTTTGCTGACTTTTTTCTCAGAACCGTTTGGTTCTCCTCCATCACTGGGCTGAGAAGTGGCTCCATCTGTGCTGCTCTGCTTCTAAAGCAACAAACACACAGAAGACAGAGCAAGTCAGGGTTCCTGCAATGTTTTACAACCATGGCACCAGGCTCTGATTAAAACTCTAAGCTAAGAAGAACTTCTACTCTTAACAGTTTCAGATTAAGGAGTTAAACTAATCCTCAGAAAAGGGTTTTGTAACTTAGAACCAGCCAGATCTTCACCAACCTCACAGTGACCTCTTCTGGCTGCTGGCTCCCTGCTGTGGATCTTCTGGTGTACCTTCAGATTACTTCCCCATTTGAAACTCTTCCCACACTGCTCACAGCTGTAGGGTCTCTCTTCAGAGTGGATCCTCCGGTGGGATTTGAGGCTCCAAGTTTGACGGAAGGCTTTCCCACACTGCTCACATTTGAATGGTTCAACACCAGCATGAACATATTGATGAGCCACTAAAGATGCCTTCGTGATGAAGAGTCTCCCGCACAGATCACAGCAGTATGGTGTCCCTCCTCTGTGAATGACCTGATGTGCTTTTAGCTGATTCCTCTCAGAGAAGGTTCCCCCACATGTGTCACAGGGGAACCTTCCTTCATTGTGGATGAGGCTATGTATCTTTAAGTTTCCTTGTATTCTGAAAGATTTCCCACACTCCCCACACAAAAACGGTTTAACTCCAGTGTGAACCCTCTGATGGTTTCTGAGAATGTTTCTGGTGGTGAAAGTTTTCCCACACTGGTCGCAGCTGAAGCATTTCTCCCGAACATGAGAGGATTGATGAACTTTTAATCGTTGTCTTGTTGTGAAACACTTTCCACATTCTTCACAGCTGTGAGGTTTAATTCCAGCGTGGTCGAGCTGATGTTCTCTGAAAAGAGGCTTTTGAGCAAAACCCTTTCCACACTCAGCGCAGACATATGGTTTCTGATCACTGTGGATGGGGAGATGTAATCTTAAGGAGGCATGGTATGTAAAACATCTTCCACACTGGTCACACTCGTAGGGTTTTAATCCACTGTGAAGGTTTCGATGTTCTACGAGGTGAGGACGGTTTGCAAAGCTTTTCCCACACTCTTCACAGGAGTATCGCCGTTGTTTGGTATGTCTGAGTTTGTGAGCATTCAGGTTTGATAAACTTCTGAAAATCTTTCCACACTCTTCACAGCAGTACTGTTTCGCTGGTTTTCCTGAGTGGGTGCGCTTATGGAGGTAGTAGCTTTCCATCCAGCTGAATGTTTTTCCACACTGGTCACAAGTGAAAGGTCTTTCTCCAGTGTGGACGACACCATGAGCTTTGAGTCGTTTCTCTGTGCGGAAACTTTTTCCACACTCACGGCAACTGAATGAATCATTCCCATGGTGGATCCGTTCATGAGTCTTTAGGTCCCATCTGAATCTAAAAGACTTTGAACATCTCTCACAGGTGAATGGCTTAACCCCTCTGTGGGACAGCTTGTGTGCTTTTAGGTCTGTGGAACAGATGAAAGCTTCCCCACACTTCTCACAGCAGTATGGCTTCTCCTCAGAGTGACTACTCTGCTGCATTCTGACGATCTTTGCAGGGGAGATTTCCAGACCAGTCACAGATGTTTAACGTGGACGTTTGTTTTTCTCCAGACGTTTTACAGTTTCTTTGATGTTCCTACAGAGACAGAGAGACGATGAAACACATGAGTGGATCCAGTCAGTGGCACTGTTTCTCCCAGAGTATGAGAAGCATGGCAGGTCACCAGGCGAAGCTTTGTTTATGTTATTTAAAGGTGCCATGGAGGCAGGACTTCAAACTGCAACTGGAGGGTTGCTGATTCGATTTCCGCTCTGTCCACCTCTATCGTCGTGTTCTTGTGTCTTGCCCAAGAACAAATGTAATGAACTTTATTTAGAAAGAGATAACGTACAGCTCAAACATTAATATATATTTTTTTTATGTTTACCTTTTTAAAGACTCTATAGTTGATGTCTAAGCAATGTTCAGTAATGTATTCCAGTAAGACATCATTACCTAGTCATATTTTCAAACTTACAGTAAACTTTTAGCATTTTTAACTCAAACACACAGTGGACAGAAATTAACTCTAAGAAAGGTGGAGATGAATTGAACATCACAAGCTGCAACGTACGAGAGAAAAATGATCAGCGAACACTGATCACATACTTTTTCAATGAGAATGATTGGTGATTGATTGATAGGAACATCACTAGTTAGATAGTATACATATCTACTAAAATGTAATTAACATTTGATTGATCTGGTTCTATACATAAAAGTTGTTTTAAATCTCAACATCACCATCATTCATACATGCATATTGACATTCTGTAGCTATTATTTCTTTAAACTAACCTAAACTAAACTTTTCTCTCATCAATCTATTTTAATAACTTATTTTATATTATAAAGTTGCTCTGCTCAACAGTCTCTTCTTCTTATATTTAAATAATTTTATCTTAATGTGAATCTGCACTGAACTCTGACTTGCTGCTATTACACCCGAGTTTCTCCTCTGTGGAACAACTTAAAATATTTCTATTCTATTCTGAACACCATCTGTAGTTAGCCCCCACTAGCCTAGCAAGCTAACTTAGCTGCCAGCTCAGATACTTTCTGTTCCAGTTGTTCAGGAACTTTTTCTGAAGCAGTTTTCCACCAGAAGGATCAACATCATTGATCATCAGTTTCAGGTAAAAAGAAGGATTTTAATTGTTTGTCATGAATATCAACTAAACAGGATCTAAGCTTCTGCTAGCATGCTAATCTATCGGGCGCTAACTAGCTAGTGATTCCACAGCAGCTGGGTGCATAGCTGCTGTTTCTGCAGTTCATTTCTCCAAAACCTCACAGCTTCTCTCCACAGGCTCATATGTCCATAACACTAGCGTTAGCATGGCAGTTACCTTTAGACAAGTTCAGCTCACAAACTGAGACGTTCTGCTATGAAGCTGGAAGATTTCTCTGAGCCAGCAGAGATATTTTCCTTTTCTGGTTGGATTGAAGCTGTTGAGCTGCAGCAGCAGATTCAGTCTGACCAGATGGAGCTTCTTCTTCTGCATACAGTAGCACTACTGCCCCCTACTGGTCTGGAGAATGGGAAAGAACAGAAACAGCACAATAGTGAAATCAACTATGAATACAAGAAGCAGTTTATTTATTTATTTTAACATCAAATTTAATTTAAACATTTTACTGATGAATAAATATTACACCTGTGCATTCTTGCTTTAATCTAAACTATAAACACAAACAGGGAAAGAAAATTGCGAGTTATGTCTGACACCTTGTGGCCAAGATCTGCAACTACGCCACAAATACATATAAAAAAAAGCAGAATAAAAACACCAAAATAGGAAGAGATTATATTTAGTTTAATTGTGCTTTAAAAAAAGAAACATATGGTTTCCATATTTGTCTTGTATTTTGATTCATCCTGCATTTGAAGCTCCTCATCAGAGAATTAACAGGTTGTTTGTTTTCTTTAAATGTGAGACTAATGGTACTTTTATTTTATTTTGAAAACCAATATTGTGCTGCTCAGCCAGTGGAGTTTGCTTTATTAGAGATGCCAGCCAGCTAATTTAAAGTTCACTGCTTAGAGGCGAATAAAACGGATGAACTGAAAGGTGAAGAAAAAGCCTTAAGGTTCAGTTTCACAGCTTCAGGATTCAGGACAGAAATCACAGTTTATACAGGAAGTTATTATTATAATTCCACACAAACACAAAGATTCATACATGTTCAGGAATATGTTTCTTTAATTCTTACTGCCCTCTGGTGGTGAACTATCGTAACTACAGATATTCGTCATATTAATCAGATAGTTTATCTTTTTTGTTCTAATTTTCACTTTTATCAAGTCAAGAAAAACCTTACATTAATGTGGTAAATAATAGTGACTAAGTGAAGAGGAAACTAAATTTACTTCAGTAAAAATCGTCCCATAAGGATTAACTGTGCTCCACAGCGCCTGTTTAACCATGAACGATACTATTTTCAACACGTCTTCATTAGCAATGTTCATGTAGCATAAGAGCAGCTAAGTATCTGCTAACGCAGTTCCGTCACCTTTAAACAAAGATTAACTGCTCCAAAACACAATATTTTAAAAGAACAGTAATTGAACCATCACTTATTATATTTAAAATACACTTACTGAACACAAAAAAATAAAACTTCATACCTTCTCCCATGGAATCCAAACAGAAAGAGCGCGAGAGAGCGGGAAAACCTACAGAGATTATAATGGTATAATCCGCTAAACTCGTCTTTTTAAACCCCGATCTGACTCTCAGAACAACAATCCACGAATTTAAAATGTTCAACAGTAAAGATGATAATTCGCAATTATATTCATAACACACTAAATTCGAATAAAACTCATAATTTCCAAAACAAGAAGTTACCCGCTGTTTTGCAATGGATCTGTCGTCCTTTGGGGGAGGGGAAGAGGGGGGGAGCAATATTTCATCATTTGAAATATTAAATCAACCTCTTGTTTCTCCAGAGATTCAGGTTGCAGATCCTGATATTGCAAATGGAAAATGTGATTCTATCTCAATACAGCAGCTAAAAGTGCAGCACTATAATTTTTAATTCATTGTTAAAGTACATGTGTGAAGGTATAAAAAAAAATCCACCACTAAATATTAACAAAAGACATTTTGTTAATATTGTCTTAAGTTTGTAATAGACTTTTTAACTCATAAAAGAAAACTCCGGTGTGAAACTCTTTACAGGACGTTTTTTCTGGTCAGTCAGACTGAATAAAATCCTGCAGTGACTCTTATTTAACGACAGTAATCAAGCTTACTTGATCTGACTTTATAAAAGTGAATAAACACGAAATCCAGTTGAATTTACCTGAAAAATGTCTGCAGTCATGATAGTTCACCACCAGAGGGCAGTAAGAACTGAATCAACCATCATAAATCTGATAAATTTTAAACTTTTTACTAAATAGTTTCGAGTGATTACAGCCATATTAACTTAATCCTGTGAATAATAATATTTAAATATTTCGTACTTGTATGCTATTAGAGATGGAGATTCATTTATAAAAATAATTCAGACCACAAGATAAACAACTACTTAGAAATAGTAATAATTTCTATTACTCTTGATGGAAATGAAACTGGAAAAAATAAATAAATTATATATATATATATATATATATATATATATATATATATATAAACACTTTGGATAATTTTGAGACTCAAAATCTGGAAAAAGTATAAATATTAAGAAAAACATATTCATTAGTGATAATATTCAATGAGCTGAGATCAGACAATAAGCAGGATAAAACCACCTGAAGAACAATTAATAAAGTTAAAAAGTTAGTGAAGCTTTTTTTAAAAAAAAAAAAAAAAAAAGAAAACTGTCGTAAACAGAAGATTGTTTAATTCTTTGGATTTGTTTTTGCTAGAGACTCGCTATCTATCGCCCTCTTGTGGTTACACACTGTAACTACACACAAATTATTTTTACGAGTTTAATCATGAATCAAATCAATGCTGCTGTTCAGCATCAGAGTTTAGATCTGCAGCTGCTGATAATCAGTTTTTGTGTAAACTAAGCTGCTGCTGGAGTCCGTTAGCATCTCTAGCTCCGCTCAGAGTCTCTGTCGGCTGTTTTCAACTCTGTGGAGCTGCTTGTAGTTCACACTGACAGAGGAAACATTAAAGTGAACCCAGAAGAAGTATCTGCCTTCATTTATCCCAGTGGTCCTCAACCTTTTTATTACCGCGGACCGGTTAAGACTTTGAAATTTTGTTGCGGCCCGGGGGGAGGGGGTGGGGGTGAACCGTCAGATAAGGCTTCTAAATGTTGGTGTTGCTAAAGGCTGAATATACCCAATTCGGGTTGTCTTGGCCCTTTTTATCCNTTAAAGCTGAAATCAATTTGAGATGTTTCTGCTTTTACTAATTTAAGCTTATGTGAAAACTTAAAAAAAAGCTAAATGACATGGAGGATTAAAATTATCGTTCAGTCATTCTGTGTGTTACAGTCAGCTTCACTGAAAAAAAAAACTTTTTAAACTTTATTTGGTCATTAAACATCCAGCAACCCACATTACATTAGAACAAATATGAAAACAAATAACTTGAACCAATCAGCACATTGTCCCAGTGATTCTCTGAGGTTTGAATACATCAATAAAATCACAGTAAAGAGCCCTGATGTGACACATCGAGTCCTAAAGTTGTCTAGAAAACTCAAAGTAAAACATGAAATATGGAGTTAAAAAGTAAAAACCAAAACA